ACAGGGGACGATGACCTAAAATGAATTCGAACTGAAGAGATGGAAAGAATAATGAAAAAAATAATAACTTAAAGGATCACTTCCGGAAACGTACCGCAGCCTTCTTCGTCATCTCCCTGCGGGCAGTCTTTGTGACCGTCGCACCGCTGTACTTCACACACAAATTTTTCCTCGTCGCCTGCACAGCGGAATTGGTCATCTCCGCGACAACCTTCGTCCGCTGTAATTACCATGCACTACAATGTTATATCATGCAAAGGAAAAGGGAAGCTTGTTAGAAAACAATAAAACAACGGAATTAAATCAGACAAGATGCGAAGGTAGAGGGAAGGTTAGCTCTTGAAACATACAAGAAGGTGCAGTTAGCTAGTATTTCTGAAAGAGTAAATGTATTTGTATTTCTGAAAGAATAAATGCATTTGTATTTCTGAAAGAGTAAATGCGAGTTCACTGTGTAGATGTCTGTCTGTTGAGAAGTGGATCCATCTGCTGGAAAATAATGGTGATATTTGTGTAATGTAAGTGAAGAAGCAAGTATTTGGGGGTCAGAGAACCATTCAGCATAAAAGGTTTTCGTCCCACTGCGATCACAGATGCTCGCGATCTCCTGTCTACTCTCCTACATTTGCCATCCCCTCTCAGTCAGTGGTTCGTAAGATATTCTTTGGGATATTTCGGCTCAACAGCGAGCTGACCTGACAGCCCTTCTACACTACTGGTCTGCTACTTCTGACCTGAGCTTTTCCATTTCCTTCACTAACTTCCTAACTTCACTTCCTAACTCCTGTGGGCTATATGGTGCAGCGGTGGCGTTCTCATTTAGCACCCGCTAATGACCTTAGCTGTTGACGCGGCAGATAAATTTAAATAATCAATCAATCTCATCTAGCAATTTTGCTGACCTGCGTTCAAATCCCTCGCCGCCAGTGGGTGGTAATCCAGCTATTCCTTACACACAGGGGGTAATTTAGGAGCAAAATAAATCAGACAGCAGGTCACACTAAGAATATCCATTGTATCAAATGAAATAAAAATAGATTACAATTATTAATTACCTCCCTCTTAGAGCTGTATATGGGGAAATGATAACATAATGCATTATTATGAATATCTTAACTTTCTCTGCATAAAAGACCCTACAAATTGTTGCTAATGAGTCCAATAAATACAATTACAAAAATGGGTTAAGTCCTTTTTCCTTGTAGCTGTCCGTTGCTTACAGTTTACATTAATGATTTTACTGTAGATTTTATGACATCTTTTTAAATGAAGTTTCAGTGTTTCATATATAATTCTAACGTCATCTATTCTGTCCCATTCTATATGTTATACTCCTATAAACACTTGATTTCAGTAAAATTCAACTGTCTGCATCTACTTCACTGTTACCTTAAATAAAAGACAGGTTATGCAGAGTGTATAATCGGTGTTAATTGAATCGCGCGCGCGCGCGCGCGCGTGTGTGTGTGTGTGCGTGTGTGTGCGTGTGTGTGTGTGTGTGTGTGTGTGTGTGTGTGTGTGTGTGTGTGTGTGTGTGTGTGTGTGTGTGTGTGTGTGTGTGTGTGTGTGTGTGTGTGGTGTGTGTGTGTGTGCGTGTGTGTGTAGATATATAATACACACAAACACACATGATACATTTATCATATTAAGTTAAGAGCCAAGAATTCTTACAAGTAAACAGAACTCGATGTCCAAAGAGGGCGACTATCTCTTATTCTGCCCATGCTGAGAGAAGCTTGGTGAAAACAAGAAAGTGAACGTATGCAAACAGGGATAAGGAAAGAAATATTATGATACTGAATTCAAACTGTCCATGCACGTTGCTGTGAAAAAAAAGTAAAAACGTTGAATGTAGCAGTTTTCTTGTACATACATTCCAACTGAGAATATCATAGATTATAAGACAGATCTCAAGGAGAGAAAAAAATGCATTCTATTAATAATAATAACATTTACAACAATGTATCAAGTTAAACAGTACAAGCAAAGCGAAGCGATGGCTATATTCTCATTTATTTTTTTCTTCTTTTTTTTTACGGGAAACTCAGTGAAAGAAAATAAGGTAAAGGAATGACAAGATAAAGACCTTCAAGAGATACAAAAGAAAACATAATAATAATCATCTGTTTCACGAAGTACAACCAAAAAATATTAAATCATCTGTTGCTAATAATCATTCTTGACGAGAGAAGTAAATAAATCACAGAATTACATTTCACCTGACAAATATGGCAGTGTACTGTAGACAGGTATTGGGAATCGAAGTTTTACAAATCAGAGACAAGTTCGGACAGAAACAAACACACAGATGATCCACCGTGCACATGAAACTAATCAGAACGTACTAATTAGATCACATATCAAAATAACCACATATATCCTCCTTAAAACTTTTATCATCTGCTTACCTGATAAAAAATGGCTTTTTTTTATTATCGGCCTTCGGTTGACATGTTTTAAAAATCTCTCGCGTCATTTATAATTGTTATCCGCGTTGGTCAGAAACGGAAGGAGAGGAAAGGATGTAGGTAATAAGTAACAATGAAGGCATGTTGCCAGGTATAGTAAAAATGCCGTTGTAATCCATGCTTTCTCTACACATTCACTTATACTTCATGGTGTATACAAGTCGCGTACGTGACCACCACACACTTTCCTTACATACATGTCCCTCTTGTCAATCGTTCTTGAACAATGGTGATGTGTGGTTATGAAAATATGTTAGGGTTTTCATGTTAGCTGATCTATGGAAAATATCTATATGCCTACTGGTTTGTGTGTATGTTTGTGTGTGTGTGTGTGTGTGTGTGTGTGTGTGTGTGTGTGTGTGTGTGTGTGTGTGTGTGTGTGTGTGTGTGTGTTTGAGTGCGGGTAGGTTGTCTGAGGTTTGTGTTATAATGTATAATGATTATAATTATAATAATTCTCTCTCTCTCTCTCTCTCTCTCTCTAAGCGCAGAAAGGCAGATTAAGACGATCGCTGTCGCATCACCATCAGTTCACCTTTCACCCCAAATAATCCCAAGAGAAGAAAGGAAAATAATATGTACAAAAGTTCTGTACAAAGAAGAAGCTCGATAGATCTCGAAGAAGTCCCAGCCTCCTTTCGTGCTTCAGTGTTTCGAGCAGGTGCGGTGTTGTTATCGTGTGTTTTTTCTCCTCTCTGTTTCTCGTGTGGTGTTAATCTTTCTCTGTTTGCTCATTCCCGTTCCGCAGGCTCGCCACTCCGCCCGTCCTTCCTGCCACCCAAACGGCGACGTCACTCACCCTTGGAGCTCGTGGTCGAGGAGGAGGTCGAGGTGATGCAGTCTCTCTCGTCGGATTTGTCAAGGCAGTCGTACCGACCGTCGCAGCGCCCCACGCACCGTCCGGAGGGGCACCGCCACTTCCCGTCGGGGCAGGACGTGGGAGAGGTCACTTCGGCGCGACGGAAACGCCACGGGAAAGAAAGAAAACGGAGGGGGGGAGGACAAACCCCACATGCAGGTCAGACAACATTCATGGGAAGCAGGTCAGAAGTAAAATATAATTTTCCCAACTAAGGTTTTACACATCTCAGGGGAACCTGTTTACGGGATGTGGGAAAAGAAAGGAAAGAAAATCAGGGGGAAAAGGTGAAATTAAAATCTTAACATCAATCACGACAGAAAATAATTGGTAGAACTATACATTACAAATACTACAAAATGTCTTTATAATCTTCCTTTTAAGAGCATGCCGGAACGAGCATTATAGAATCACTGGTGCTGTACAACAAACGACAACAAAGGGGAAGAGGGAAAAAATAAGACAAAACACAGTATATACACAAAATAAGCCCCCGCAGGCGAAAGTCCATAAATGAAAAGAATACCAATAATTACAAACTAGCAAAGAAATGAATCAAATCAGGATGTGACCGTCGAGTACTGATCTAAACAAGACAGCTGCGCCCCACGTGGCCGCCGCCCGCCATACCTGCAGTCCCGTGCTCGGCGAAGCTGAAGAACTGCGGGTTGACGGGGATGCTTCCCAGGCGGCTCGTGCTGAGGGCTTCGCGGATCTTCCGCTTGAGGACGCCGCTCTGGTCGCCGAAGCCCTCGTAGTTGATGTCCATCGTCACCTCCACGTAGCCCGAAATCGACTGCCTGTGAGGGGGCAAGGCTGACTCAGCTCCCGGGCTACGGCTCACGCAAGCATTCATACACACACACACAAATATATAAATATATACATAGAAATACACACACACACACACACGTAGACACAAATAGATATATATATTTATTAAATTTAGTCTAGATCCTTATCTTCGGTTTTGTCTCCGTTTAAGAAATGGCAATGACACATAGCATACATAGGCACAGACACACACATGTATAGAAGTTCGGTGTATCTACATAAACAAACAAACAAACACACACACACACACACACACACACACACACACACACACACACACACACACACACACACACACACACACACACACACACACACACACACACACACAAATAAACAAACAAACAAACACATACACACACACACACAGAGGAACCCCCACTCCCACGCACAGAACTTGCCTCATATTGGAGACGTGGAGTGACTTGTCTCCCGAAATCGGCCTCAGAATGATGTCGAAGGCGTTCCTGATCTCGCTGGCCAGGTCTTGGAAGAGGGAGCCCTGCTTGTTGCTGTATTCGACCTTCCAGATCAGGTTGACTTGGAACTTCACGCGGTAAATGATCTCTGGAAGGGCGGAAGGGAAGTTTGAGAATATTCGCAGGAGCGGTTCGAGGCTTCGTTCGTTCGCGCGGGTTTGTGTTAACAGCAGCGGGGGAAGTTTATTATAAATTATCCAGGATGGTTGGTGAGTTATGTGGATATATTGAAGAAGGATACCAGGGGCGTTCGTTTGCTCCGGGTGAAGTTTAAGAGGATATAATAGGTTTTGGAAGTTTGTTGAAGTGAGGTAACAGATAAAGGCCTTTTTTTTTTTAGATATACAGAAACGAAGGGTG